GACCTCAAGACTTCAAGACACAATTCGGACTCTGCCGCGGGGTCTCCAAGGTCGATATGTGTGGTACGTTATATCGCGCAAGTGCATGATTCTATCAAAAAATATTTTGTGGGTTCTTTGACAATCCCTTATAGGCCTACGAATTCATGTTACACCGTGTCTTTTCCCCCGGAACGGTCCGGCAATACCGCGTAGATGCATATTATCAAAATTACACTTATTTTTGATCCTACAAATATGTATATGTTAAACGCGGTAAACATTTGAACGGTCAGTATGCAAATATTGAATAACATTGATTGAAGCTCCTGAGCTTTTAGGATTCAGTTTGTTATTATACCGCTAATGCGTTTTTCAATCAAAGATGTTTTCATTGAATTTATGTGCATATTTCTCTAATATATGTAAAAGTTAATTCTTCCCCGTAAATGTAGTAGTAAAATAATTAGGGAATTACTACTACTGGATGATCGGAATGGTAGACAACTCGGTTAAATCTCGAGACACAATGCTCAATCGAGGGATAAAAAATTGCTCTTGGTTTTATTCGATGTACAGTGGACATTAACGACCGTCCGCACAAGAGTTTAAAATAAAATTGGCTTCAGCCGCAACATCTGACGGTTGATGTACAAAGGTAAATGTATTCTCTTTCTGGTTAGAATGCAGACTGAACCGAACTAAATATTATTGTTATGTGCGTTTTACACGAGAAGACGCCTAATGTTTCCTTTCATGATATGTACATTGTGCAGTGATGTTCAATAGGTTTATCAATTGTGATCATTTGTTTCATGCGGCCGTAGACTTATTCCACGTTCGTTTCCATTTCCTACACTGAACTTACGCCTCAGGAATCTTCGCTTATTTGAATTACCGTGTTCCGGTTACACGTCAAGAAGTTATTGATATTCTACTCAACGGCCTTCATCGATTAGAATACCGCGGTTATGATTCAGCTGGGCTAGCTGTGGATTTGCCTTCGGTCGCACAAAATGGTGTCTTGAATGGAGAAGCTGCTATGGGATCTCCGATCGCTGTGGTTCGTCAAAAGGGAAAGGTGTCTGCCCTAGTTCAGGCTGTTAAAAGTGAGCTGCATATGTGAAGAAAAAAATTCCAAATGTCTTTACTATGAGCTATAATCTTATGTCTTATGATGTTCCTGTTTTTGTCGAGGTTTATGTGCACAGCAGAGTTTATTCACTTTTTTATTTCAACACATATTTATCTGAAATGCTCCATTCAGTTGGCCTGGAATCGGAGCGATTGGTTTAACACAAGAAATACTTTCTCTGTATAATATATAAATATATATGTGATAGAAAGTTATAACAAAATCTAACGTTTTGATTTGCTTGCTTCATATCTTAGAATTGTACTTTATTTTAATTCAGAATCTCCTCTATGCAATGGAATGATGGCCGAGCAGTTAGAAACTCATGTGGGCATCGCACACACTCGTTGGGCCACACATGGAGAACCGAGCGAAATAAATGCTCATCCGCAGTCTTCAGGGAAGGATAACGCCTTCGTTGTAGTACACAACGGTATCATTACAAATCATAAGGACCTAAAAGCACTATTGGTAAGTGTTGAGATTTATTTTTGTATTTCTAACCATATTACATATTTATATATATTTAACACCGGCTTGTAGACAAGCATGGTGCCAACGCTACAAGAGTAGTAACAATAACAAAAATAGGGGATAGGTGGATTTGGGTACAGAATAAAGTTAAAATAGGATGAAACAGTTGAACACGGGAAAATGGAAGATAACTGGGATAACAAACTTTTTTCGTGTGTTTCACTGTACACTTTTTGATATTTTTTGTGTTTTCGAGATTCACTGCTCGACAAGGTTTCCCAGAAGAAGCGAATGAACTGAAAACTGGCCACCGGCTCATCTGAAACATTAGTGCTGTCTTGCAGTCCGCGCTTGGTTGCGCAGAGGCTAAAGTGCATCCTTGAACAAAGCCTACTCTGGACCGGGCGACTGAATAGTACAATAGCCCGGAATGCATACAACCGTGAACCGTCTTGCCCTTAAGATTATTAAATAAATGGCTACCTTTGAACAACCATGTCACTCAGAGTTTCGCCCAATTAGGGCGTCTAACGTGACCTAAATTTCCAAAAGCCCTGGTTAGGGTTTCCATACCTTCATGAAAGGTTTTAGTTGAACCATCTTTGGCCGTCTTTCATCCATGATCTGCCTCACAAAGCATCGCGTTTTCTATCGCTATATTGGGTGACGTAGGTAATACACAATAATATCTATGACTGTCTAGAGCTTTGTCCATTGGGTGATTTTGGTTCACTAAGACCACTTAACCTCATCATTGTTTATTCGTTTGCTCCACCAGATTCGTGCAATGCATCGTAAACAGTGTTGCTCGAAGGCTGTTAGTATTTTAGTCCTCCTCCTTTAACGGTCAAGTCTCTGAAAAATACTACAGCATGAACTGCTTTAGCTCGAACTCACCCTCACTGATCGTTCCCATTGTCAAGAGAGGATCCCTCAACGGTTGCGAAAACTACCGCGGGATCAGTTTGATCCCGATCGTCACCAAAGTGCTGGCTTCCGTCATACTTCAGCCTTTGACTCCTTTACGAAAGATCAACATCCGTGAACAGCTGGCCGGATTCCGGCCTGACCGTGGATGTATTGATCAAATGTTTACGTTGAAGCGGGTCCTTGAGCTGCGCCACACCCACTGTCGACCAACGTTCGCAGTGTTCCTTGACCTAAAAGGAGCCTTTGACTCAGGTAACTGCAAAGCCCTGATGGGCACTCTTCTTCGAAAAGCAGTGCCTTAGAAGTACGTTAACTTATTGAGGACACCATACTCATGCACCACTGCTTGTGTAAGGGTCTATGATGAACTAATCAAGCCATTCGTCAGCAGCACCTGCGTTATTCAAGGATGCTCTCTCTCGCCATTCCTGTTCATTGTCGTGGACGAAATACTGGAGCACGCATCAAGTGGTCTCCAAAACGTAGGTATTGAATAGACAACTGGAGAAAAGCTGTAGGACTTAGAGTACTCTGATGACGTCCTCTGTCTGTATGGATGACGCACAGAACATACTTGATAGACGAACAAGTGCTATTACCACATTCGGTATGCGCTTT